TCAAGCTCAGGGTGCTGCCTGCATAGTATGCCCTTAGTTGGACAGCCTGCAGGATAGGCGGGCAGCCTGACATGCATTCATGCAAGGCTGTCCTTCAAATTCTTTGGACAGACATGCCCCCTTTTTGGGCATGTTCACCCCTTTTGGCAGGTCTGGTCACGTGATTCGCACCAGTGGCCCACCCTTTTACCCCGCCTATTGACTTCCTGCTTCACTGGACACTGCTGTTAGGGGGTATGGATTTACTTGAAAGATGAAAGCATAAATTAGAGAGAGATAAGCATAGAGCATGTTTTTTCTTATAGCTGCATCCTATGAGTTTCCCTCCAGCACCATCTCCATCAGATACATGACGCTTGGGATGTATGACTGTTTTAGTGTTTTTGGTCGATAAAATTCCGTAATTAGGCCCATCATAATTGTCAGCACCAGGCCCAGTGTGCTCTTAATCCGGCCCTGGACCCCAATCTATCTTTTGGCCTGCACATAGAAAAGCTTGCATCTAAACTTTATCCAAAATTAGGTGCCCTGTACAGAAACAAATCCTGCCTAAGCCCTACAGTAAAGGAAAAGATTGTACAACAAATGCTGATGCCAATCATTGATTATGGGGATGTAGTATATGCGTCTGCATCGCAATCCCACATTAATAAACTCAACACATTGTATAACTCGTTCTGCCGATTTGTGCTACAATGTAATTACAGGACCCATCATTGTGACATGCTAAAGGAACTAAACTGGCTGTCGCTGGAATCCAGACGCACCCTTCATCTTTCCAGCCTTGTTTTTAAGAGCTTTTCTGGGAAACTCCCACCCTACCTGAACAAAATGCTTTCCCCAGCTGTTCCCACTTTCTATAAGCTCCGATCCAGTACAAGCACTTTACTTAGTCTACCTCAATACAAAAAGAAAGCGGCCCGATCCTCCTTCTCCTACAGAGCACCGCAATTGTGGAACGACCTCCCGCACAATTTAAAATCTTCCCTAAGCCTAAAGTCATTTAAGAGATCCCTCTCTACATACCTCAAAACAGAATGCACGTGTCATGGTTGATTATATATTTCCTGCCTGTTCTATGTTAAATTTTGTATATATTGTGTATTAATATTGTTTTTGTATTTTATTGTACCCTAATGTAACAATGCAATGATTTGTGGACCCAGGACATACTTGAAAACGAGAGAAATCTCAATGTATCTTTCCTGGTAAAATATTTTATAAATAAATAAATAAATAAATATGTTCTGCGGAATCTGCATTAAACTGTATCTTCCAAACTACTGAATGGATCTGGGTGAATTTTGGATATGTGGTTCACCCAGATCCCCCGGTTCCGAGGATATATGTTATGGGGTTATTGCAGGTTTTGGGGTCCCTGTGATATGTTTTATAATACTGTATTTTCCTGCCTGTGATAATTAAGTTAGTCTATTGTGTTGCGATAATTGTATCACAGGCAGAGGGGAGGATTTCTGATGTAATGAATGGGAGTGTTAGCTGTGTTGTAATGTGTTGATTGGTTGTTCTTCAAAACCCTGTGGGCAGTACTATGTTTGTAGAATGTGAATAAAAGAGGCTGTATGTGCCAGTACAGTCAGTTCTAATTCACCCTCAATTTGCAGTGCCATCTCTTATTGGGGGAATCTGCTACAAGGGATTGCTATGCTGTGCATACTCCCTTGCTAAATCACTCCTAAGCTCTTGTAAGAGTTTGTTCCTGCCTTGCTCTCTGAAGGAGTCCACTTGGTTATGGTGTCTGCTGGAGTGCTTGGAGTCCTCAGGAAGCGCTAGGAACATCCTTCAATGGAGGTGCCCAGTCGGGGTGCCCGTCGATCTGTGATACAGCTAATAATCAAAATTTGAGCTGTACAAAATTAAAGGGTTGGTTTTAAATGCTTGCAAATATATGTAGGCTTCCAGTAACTTTGATGATGTCTATTGTTAGTGTAACTAGGTTACACCAGGAGACATAGCTGGCTGCTATCTTGGTGCTCCTAAAAGTACATTATCAGTGGCCATATTGGTGCTGCTGGAAGCACGTTTGTCAGCCATTTTGGAATTGGCCACATGGCCAGATGCCATCTTGTAACTTCATAAACACAGTAAATTTTATCACGAAAGTGTCACGGCAAGGGTGCATAATTTACTACTGCACTATGGAATATTGCTATTTAATATAACTTGTGCATTGCATCAATAATTGGACCCCTGGCTAGAGGACAAATGGCAGAGAGAAATTGCTCTTTTGATCAAAAGGTGCTTCTGCAAGGTGTGAAACGGATTGCCATTTTTGGTCCTTCAAAGGCCCTGCAAGGTGAGACATTTTACACTTAAGCCGCCTGGATGTCTAGTTTCAATGTAAACTAACTGACTTTGACCATATGGCTTGAAACTATCAATGGATCGTTCAATCCTTTGATATGGTAATGGTATTAGTTTCATTAAGACCAGTATGTTCTTGGAGGGGGCTGCTTATTATTAATACTTATCCACAGATTAATAATTACGCCTTAATTTTTATTATATTTAGAATGGGACAAGCACAGCCGTTTAATCAAGTCTAAACACCACTTATACAACTTAAACCGGGTGGCAGGGGTTGTGATGTCTGCTTTATTAGGGTGCATGTAAGTCATGTGATATACCCCATAAATGGGAAAATGGTAAATTCATAGAGGCAATTATTATTTCTGTGGCAAGTACAATAGAGGAGATAAAACCAAAAGTTTATATTTGGCTTGTTGTTTTCTGGAACACAAGGGAGTGGCTACTTATTTTGTCTAAAGGTACACCTTATCTCCGCCTCTGGGAAGGCTGGTAACTTGAGATGAATCTAAAGGGTATATAACAAGTGAAATTGAAAGGTCTTCGTGTACTTGCTTGGGGCCAAGATCTAATTTTGAGTGAGTCACCATCTTTCCTTGCCAGAGACCCCCTGGGTAGAAGTTGTACTTTGAAAACCTAAGTGAGTAATTAGGATTTCTGTATTTTATCTGTTGTTGGTGTAAATAATTTGTTTATCATATATTGTTATATGCACTGTGACTATTTTTTGCTCATAATAAACATTAATTTATTAAGTTTTGCCTTTGTCTGGTTAAGAATCACGTTAGCTGAAGAGACTAGTTAGTATTTTTATAATTCCTTAAATATTGTACTAAGTAATATTTGGTGGGTTTTATTATTGATTTACTTGGGGGACCAAGGCACCCCATTTATAAATTGTCTTGGTGGTGGCAGCGTTAAAATAGTAATAGTTATATTATTATGTTTAAGTGTGGGTGGTGTTAAAAGGGGGATTTTGTCATTATTTCCCGTCTAGTGCAGACAAATAGTAAACTTTAACCCTTTCACCACCACAACTACATCACGCACACTCTTGGAGTAGGGCGCTTTCGTGACAGCCAGTTTTTGTGAAACCCTTTGAATTGCGCAAACCTAATCATCCAGAATCACAAACCACAACAGTTGTGCTAATCCAAAACAAAAACAGGGAAGTATAAATTTAAGGTGGTTTTGGATAGTAATGTCACTTTACATTTTTCATTTTCACTATAGAGCAGATATATGCTATGCATTGTGAGAATATACATAAAAGCACTATCACGGTTTAGTTTTGACGCTGCATTTAAAAAACAAACATTCTTTATCACATTAATTTTGCAATATATATTCAAAGAAAAGGAAGACAAAAGGCATTTAACTGGTAATGCAAGAAATGCAGAACCGGTGCACCAGGGACACACACCAGGAGTGTCCAAGGGCTTGACCCGTGTGAAAACACTGGAAACCAAAACAGAAACAGAACGTACGGTTCTCAAAGAAATGATAGTGTGCTAACTGGTAATATAAAAAAATAATGTATTAATGACCTGACCTCCAATATATTAGGTAGGTATAGATAGATAAGCAAGGAACAGAGTCAATGAATGCATATAGGGAATCACTTGGGAGAACTTTTACATGGAAGGAAGCACTGGAATTCTGGATCCAAATGAACAGATCGAGAAATTATCAAAGTGTTGTCCCATAGTTACCAAGATAATGAAAGGAGTTCTACAAACGGCAAGAAGTTAGTCAATGGCTGACCCTTATAGGAGGCCAAGGACACTCTAGAACCATGTATATGATGTGTTGATAGGCAAAAAGCACAATAAGATTTGTTTTCCAATTGTTGGGGGTCAATCTTTTTTTGTTCATCCTTACCATAAATATACGGAAGACAACATTGTATTTCCACAATGTGAGGAACGATGATAGCCCCAATGACTAGAGGGCAGGCAACCCTACCCTCTAGTCAGTTTATTTCCCCAAATACTCAAGTATGGCACAGGAGGAAGCTAGGTTTCCTCTAAATCAGGGGTAGGCAACCATGGCACTCCAGATGTTATGAACTACATCTCCTTTAATAGTCTTAAAGCCATAATATTGGTAAAGCATCAGGTGAGATGTAGTCCATACCATCTAAAGTGCCAAAGGTTGCCTAGTCCTAGACTAGAATATTTTGTATCTTTTTTTCCATGGAAAAAAAAAAGAGAGTGTGTGTTTGGTTCTTTACTGTTTATATTTAACCAGTAAATTGTCTGGTTTCAATTTTGATGGCTTTTTCACAACATATTATTTCACAATCACTATCTCTGCCCTTGATAAGTCATCTCTGTCTATTCATTAGGGGGCCTAATGGTGCATCTATAAAAATGTAACACGATGAACATTTTAAACAAATAAAACAAAAAACACAACCCTTCTGATTTAATAGAGGTCTACATTAACCCATTCATTCTCAGAAACATATTTACACAACAGGCACCCATGCCGCAATATGTTTTCTCAATTTTAATTACTAGCAATTGAAACAAAATTAAGAGTGTTCAGTTAATTCCATTATTTTATAACTCGTTTTAGAACAAAGATAATGTTTTGCAAGTAAATAATAAAGAGGTCATGTATATGGAAATGAAAAGTATACATCTAATTTTCCAACACACACACAAAAGTTATTTCACTCTTGTGTGAATCCTCTGATGATCCTTAAGACGTGACATCAGATAGAAAGATTTCCCACATTCTATGCAAGAAAATGGTTTCACTCCAGTGTGAGTCTTCTCATGATTATTAAGCATTGCCTTCCGACTGAACTTTTTCCCACACTCAGCACAAGAAAATGGTTTCTCTCCTGTGTGAAGCCTCGCATGTCTGTTACGAGTTGACATATCCTTAAAACACCTCCCACATTCAGAACATGGAAATGGTTTCTCTCCTGTGTGAATCCTCAGATGTGTATAGAGACCTGACTGCCAACTGAAACATTTCCCACATTCTGAACATGAAAATGGTTTCTCTCCTGTGTGAGTTCTTATATGAGAAATGAGCATAGCTTTCTGAGTGAAACCTTTCCCACATTCAGAGCAAGGAAATGGTTTTTCTCCTGTGTGAGTCCTCAGATGACAACCAAGTGTTGATTTCTGACCAAAACATTTTCCACATTCAGAACAAGAAAATTGCTTTTCTCTTCTGTGAATGCGCTGATGTCCATGGAGAGCCTGTTTCTTAACAAAGGACTTCCCACACAGATTACAAGACAGTGATTCCTTTCCTTGCTGGTATTTGCAAGATCTGGGAAGATGTGAATACTGATTTAAACATTGATGTGCAACAACATTTGCTTTAGAGATGAATGGTTTCCCAGATTCCTTACCATTAATTTTCTTTCCTTTATAAACTTTTTTATAGTTAAGGAGCTCTGAACTTAAAGATGAAACCTTAAAACCTGTAAAGCTAGTGCTATTGCTATTGCCCTGGTCTTGTAGCTCATGATAAGATGAGGGTTGAATGTTAATCTTCTGTGAGGTAGGACCTGTCAGGGAGATTGATTCCTCCATATCAGGGATATATGGATATTCTGTCTGTGTACATTCTGTGGGTGTATAAATGTCAGTGACGGAGATATTTCCTTCCTCACCGGAGGCGGTTTCCTCCTTAATATAAGTAGGTGGATATTTAGTTTGCATATACAAGTCAAGATCAGTCTGGTTGGCTTCTTCACACCAGGCTGGCTCTTCTATGATATGTTTATATACGGTTTCTGTCTGCTTAAATTTTTCATGAATGTAATAATCATTATCAAATAAGTTTTTCTCTTGACAAAATGTTTGAGGTATCTCAGATTTACACTGGTTTTTCCTCATCACAGCACATTGTGTTTCCTGATTAATAGCGACCTTCTGGTCTTCGGTGACATACTTTTCCGAAGAAACAAGCAAGTCATATCCATCAACTTCCGTTATGTTCATGGAACAATCTAATGCAAAAAAAACCAACATACTTAAAATTAGAAACCTATCAAAAAAGGTACAATAATATTTAACTATTCTCACAAAAAACCTAAGCCAATCTAAATATGCAGGTTTTTTAATAACTAAACTACAAGCGGTATAAATACACACCAACATCAGCTCTTTGCATTGTTGATAAGGAATGTATCATTAAACTCAGTCTAAACAGAATAAGTACTTGCACTATTGCAAAGTGCGCAGTGTTTGGAGCAATTTGAGACCACCCATTTTTGGGGATAGCTTATAGTGAAAGATTTGTTCAATTTGTCACCACCAGGGCTCAGAAATTCAGGACTTACCATACTAACCATACCAAACCACCTCCTGTGTAATGGTGATTACAGCAGGAGGAGCAGCTGTTCTACCCCAAAATGACTGTGGGTGCACATCACACCAAGAGAATAAGGATTCCGATATGTGGTCTTTACTATTATGCCAACTTTTTAAACAGGTATCCTAAACATCTACAGGTAGAGAAGAAATAGGAAAATATGCTCTGCCCTCTTATGCTGTAAAACCTACTTGGGGGATCCAAGGCTGAAATTTAAAATAGAGTGCTCAATTTCCAATGGTATGTGAGCGACTCGAAGGTTTGACCCCTAGCTGTGGCCTATGTCAGCCCAGCAGTCCGGTCTCTTAGACAGGCAGATAAACATAGTTCCAGGGTGTGAATGTTGTCCCTCTCCTGCCTGGACTACATGCAGTGCATAGCATTCCTTAACACGATGCATAGCCTGAATTACTACTTAATGAACTGAACTACTCATTTTAAAATCAACAGTTGCCACACCACATAAGTATCTGATTAATAAGCAGATTTAAAAATCCAATGTGAAGATTGGAACTAAAGTACTTTCCCACAGTGCTCCACTGCACAGGGGATTATGGGATAAGATCAGTCCTCACAGAACAGCATGAGATATGCGGGACAACAACATCTAATCCTGGGGAGAGAGAAGCACCGTAAAGGGGGACACTTTGAAAGTCATACAGTATTTTAATTTGATGCCAATATTTGTTTGTTAATGCAATATCTAAAAAGCTAATTTGTATTTTTTGTCCAGAACCACTGCTACCAGAATGCAAGGGTTATCTTGTTCTGTTGAATGCTTTTTACTCATCAGCTACTTGTATCCTTGAAAACTCTTCTGGGATGTATAGTGGATATAACAAGTCTTCACAATGTAAAGGCAGAAATAACAACAGTGTAAATGTCAGATGGTTTCCATCTCTAATGGAATATTCCAACATGCAAAAAAAAAAAAAACCAAAGCCCCAAAAACCCCAAACTACAGCATCCGGATCAGAGCCGCATTATCCATAATCAGCTCTGTCTCAAACTCGGAGTCTGGATCTCCAGTTGTGTCTCTGAGAAGGCCCAGCCTGAGCTGGCTGTGTGTCCTTGTGCCCAAGGGACTGAGGGCTGGCCAGAGTCACCTCCCTTGATTTCCCCCTAACCATTGGTGGTGTAATGCAGGGCAATGAAAAGCAAAGTGCTAGCCTGCCACTGCTGTCCTTGCAGGTTCGGCCTACTGAGAGAAGCGTGTAGTGGGTTGGGATGTGATTTCACATCATTTCCGCTTCCCCATTAGGCCCTTGAAAAGCCTGTATATCTAGTTTGCCTCTTAGATAGGAAGTCCTTTGATATGTAGATATACTTGCTGGCTCCCACAGCAAGTGGTTACTCACAGTGAAGCATTTCTTAATAAACACACAGAATACATTTTACACCGAACTATACTTTACCCCCCTTTGATGACCCACAGCTGCATATACAGACAACACACACTGCTCTATGTAGAATACAGGCACACAACACAGCGACATCTAGACACATGGAAAACAGACACAAAAATGGCACTGCAAGCTTGTGGCTCGCGCCAAACAAATCAGGCCATCCATCACATATCTTCCCCCACAGAAAGACAGACCTGTGGCCAGACCCACGACGGGCCTGCAACAAGTCTGTTGGATCTGCCATGAGTCCACAGTCCACGTCCTTGGGGATCCAATGTGACTGGACAAGTGGGCGCGGCCCTCAGTGATGGCGTTCCGTCACACCTACTGATTCAGAATGGGATTGGGTCAAATGTGAACCCAACTAGCATTTCCATCATGAAAGTCTGTGCGGACTTATACAATGAGGGTGCTGTAGTTTTGGGGGGGGATTAGTTTTTTTAAGTTTCAAATATTCCTAATTAATAATTTGTTTGTTTTTCCTTCTGGATTCAGGTTTGTAGGAAGATCACATGACAGGTGGAAAAGGCCTGACATTTACAACATTGCTATTTCTGTCATAACATTCCAAAAACGTTCATAAGGGTATGTAGAATTCTACATCCATGGGGGCGGGGCCGGGCGGCCATGCTAGCAGGCTGCAAGTCACTATGGCTCCTGAGGAATCCAGCTAATAAGGGTGACAAAACCCACCTTACTCAACTTGGAATGCCCTGGAAATTTGTGGTATATGCTCCTGGAGTGTCCCAGTGCAGCTAGAGCACCTGACACCGGGTAGTTCTGGGTCCTGGTGAGATGCCCCGGGGCTGGTGGACTGAGGCCTACACGGGAGGGGAGTGGAGCAGACGGCCGCTGCCTCGCTCTCCGCCCCGGGTAATGAGAATCGCAACGCAAATGGAGCCCTCCCGGCTCCGTTCACCCCCCCTTTGGACCGACCGGCGGGGGTTATCCCGGTCCCCACCAGGCAAGCAAATATCTTGGCGGCAAGCCTGGGCGACCCAGCGCCGACAGTCTAAGGCTACCATGCGGCCCTCACAAAATGGCCGACAGCGACGCGACTAACTCGCTTCCTACCACCAAACCCACAGACCAACATTGGAGGAGAGCCCGGAGAGGTCCTTACCAAACACCAACCCCAGCATATCGCTACCTGTATCTGGACACTATGGGCTGCAAAGCACCGCACCCGTACTCACCTACTGACCGGGTACTGTGGACACGGCGATCTGAGGACACTTTGATCGAAATGAGGCTGCGGAATACAGTGGAACGCCTGGGTACTCCGCGAGGGTCACCCCCAAGCCTGGGAACAGGATGCCTCTCAACCAACGACGATCCCAGCTCCTCGGGACGAAAGGCAGCCAAGGAGTGCACTGCGGAACTCACGACAGCCTTAAAAGATAACTCCCTGGCGATACTTGCCGATACATGGACATCTCTGTAATTATAATCACAGTAACTGTCGGTTTGGGCATCCAGGGTAATGCAGATGATAACTCACTATGCCAAAATCAACCTGGTGGCATTTCATTTAAACACCTATCTTAACTAAGCTAGCACTTCTTAAAAGCGTCTGTTTATACTCTTGTTATGAATATAATATAAACCACACATGCAGACTCAGGTTTCAAGCAAACTCCTATTATATTGCTTAGAAGAGGTAGTGAAACACTGAATGAATAAGCATATGTAGACCTAGACAATTCCACGTTTGACTAGCCTGTATATCACTCTAAGCTAGATAATCAAAGTTAAACTTGAAAGTTTATGTTCGATACAGATGTTGATACTTGCTATAGCACCAGCCACATAAGCTAAGTGACGAATCCAACAATTTGCTCATCACATCATTATAAAATTGTGCATGTTTTATAGCTGACCCAACTGTTATATATATATATATATGTTCCAAATACGCTTGAGGAATGTCGTTGGGATACCTCATGCGGGGATGTTAAACTGATATGCACTGCAAAAAAAATTTAAAGAATTCTACCGTGTTTCTCGAAAATAAGACCGGGTCTTATATTAATTTTAGTCACAAAAAACACACTAGGGCTTATTTTCAGGGTAGGGCTTAGAGCCAGTCTGTCAGCCGGTGTCCGCGCTGTGTAACCCCCCAGAGACCCTCACCTCCCCCTCCCTGTAATATTCTCCCCTCCCTCCCTGTAATATTATTCTCCCTGTAATATTATCTCCCTCCCTGTAATATTATCTCCCTCCCTCCCTCCCTGTAATATCTCCCCCCTCCCCTGTAATATATCTCCCTCCCCCTGTAATATTATCTCCTCCCTCCCTCCCTGTAATATTCTCCACTCCCTCCCTGTAATACTCTCCCCCTCCTCCCCTCCTCCCCAACCTCCCTGTAAATATTATCCCCCCCCTCCCTCCCTGTAATGTTATCCCCCCTCCCTCCCTGTAATATTATCCCCCCTCCCTCCAATCTTCTCACCTCCCCTGTAGCGTGGCCGAGCTCCTTTCCAGTCCGGGCGGGTCGCGGACCGGAAAGGAGCTCGGCCACGCTACAGGGAAGGGGAGGTGAGGCAGTGTGGCTGCCGGCCCTGCCTAGGTCTTATTTTCGGGGTAGGGCTTATATTGCAGCCCACCCCGATAATCCAGCTAGGGCTTATTTTCGGGGTAGGTCTTATTTTCGGGGAAACAGGGTACATCCATAACAATCCTATCCGATTACCCATGCATAATATACAGTAACTTATTAGAATATAGAGAAGATTGATGTTTTTAGTATTTTGACCTACAATAGAATCAGTAATGTTGTTTTGAACACTTTATCAGTTTACATATAATCACTTTGTCTCTACTCTACCATTCAGGTCATCAACAGAATAATACAGTATTCTCCCTCTCAGGTTACTGTTTAATTACCGGAATGCTCTCAAACTGGGCACTTTGGGGATTTCTTAAATGTGACTATTGGCAATGCTAACCAGGTGAAGGCAGCAGGTGGTGCACAGATCACCCATCTTTTGATCGTTCAGGTGCCTGTCTACTGGTAAAAAACTGGCAGGGGTGCTAAGTGTCTGCTCTGCTGCTATAGTAAGTGGCTGCGGAATGGGTGGTGAAGGAGCTGCTGGCATCTTTCGCTTCCCATTGCCAAGCTCCTTTGTATGCAATGCTGGGAACTGGAATGTGATCTCACCGCAGTTCTGTCAGTATAGAGCTGCAGGGAGCTGGGCAGCAATCAGTGCATGGATGGATCCCAGAAGCTCTCCACTGAACACCAGGTATGAGGTTCTACTCCAGCTCCCTTCAAAGTAAGACAAGAAAGGATGAGTGGGCCTCACTGTGGGGAAAATATATATATATATATATATAAAAATACAAAATTAAGTAATTTAGTGTAATCGTTTTGCACATGTGCATGTAATTTCCTTAACAAAGTGCATTAGGAGGGTGCAAAGCGCTACAGTTTAGGAACAAGGATGGGGTGTGAAAAACGGCCTAGGCCCATCTCTATATATCATGAAGGTATCATAACATCACATGCAAACAAGGTCTTCTCTTACCCAGTGACCAAAGAGGCTGCGGAGTCTCAGTCATCATATCCTTAAAAGGTTCTTCGTGTCCTTCTAAATACTTCCACACCTAAAAAGGAATAGATTTTGACATGCTTATACCTGATAGGAACCTGGCACACACAATGATACAGTCACGATCAAGACACATCCCTGGGTTTTACTCTATGATGTCCCATTCCCAGCAGCCTCACCTCTCCAGTCAGCAGGTAGATGATCCGATTGGTCAGTTCTAAGATCTTCTGGTTATTCTTTCTCTCATTTGGTATTGGTGAGGGCACCACGATAGGGCTCTGGGGCCTGTTGGGTTCTTCTGACACATGGGGACTACAGCTCTGTATCAAAGACTTACTAGGCCTCTTCACAACAATATACTCCTACATATTTATTGAGATTGTAATGAGAAGAATCAATTTAGTTTGGATAACACTACTACACAAAAATGTCAACTGGATGTATCATTCCATCACACCTGAAGGATTAATTGAACTTTGTCCTATACTGGATTAGATAATGTTCCTCAGATAATTTATATCAAATATTAACAAAGCTCACACTGTAGATGTAGGATTTCTTTAAAAACATTATTCAATGTTCAAGGTTGTGAGTGCACAGTCCCATACGATAAAATCTACAAATCTTGCCAATCCCTACAGACAATTTCTGAGGTTAGGTCTCTTGCAATGCCCCCTTTAAGATGTTTCTTGTGGAATTAAAATAACTTGTTAACCTTACTTTTCCCAGGACAAATTCCTCGAATGTAGGAGGCTACTATTGAAGCTTATGCCAATCTGCTCATAGTGGATTAGCACACATCACATCATTAGTATAAACCATTGAAATAAATCAGACCAGAGGAAAGACTGGTGTGAAAATCCAAACAGATAGCTCTCTATCTGACTTGTTGCTGATGTTTAAGACGGCTGTATAGTTCCTATTTCCCCCAGCTCCCTATGCAACTTCCTTACTTTATTTTTATTTTGAGAATAAATACACGTATCTTGTTATACGATTACACTTCATAGACACAGTATTATATAGGCTCCTTCAGATGGATATTGAGACACTACGTATATATTATAAATACTGTGACTGCTAGAACGAAGACCACATCTGTTCCCCATTCCTTTTTTTTTGTTGCACTTTTTTATTTTTAGCACATTTTTGCACCTTTTTGTGTACTTCTAAACCATTTTCTAATAACATTGTATCTAAATTATCTATCTATCCAAGAATGATTTTCTAATTGGTGGTAATTCTAGTGAAGTCTGGTTGTCATTATTGTTATTAAAGGACCACTATAGCACCCAGCCCACTTCAGCTCAATGAAGTGGTCTGGGTGCCAGATCCATCTAGTGTTAACTCTGACACTGCTATGTTTACACTAGGGTTAGTCCAGCCACTAGTGGCTGTCTCCCTGACAGCCACTAGAGGCGCTTCTGCGATTTAGACTGAGTGAATCGCACTTATTTTACGCTGGATGTCCTCACAGACCTCCAGCATCTAAAAAGATTTTGGGCGGGTTAGGATGCGCGTGCTTCTCTGGCCGACGTCAATGGAGGAGGAGAGGTCACCAGCGTCGAGGGAGCCCGGTGCTGGATTAAGGTAAGCAACAAATGGTTAATTTACCATTTATTCACCGTGGAACGGGGCCCTAGTCACCATTTAGGTGACTAGGGCTCTATAGTGTTAGGAAGAAATATTTTTTTACATATTTGTATTCCTAATGCTATGGTTTTCCTTTAATTATTATTATTGCCATTTATATAGCACCAACAGAATCCGTAGCGATTTACCATATTATAAAATGAGGAGATTTAACAATAAATGAGACAATTACAAAAAACGTACAGGAACGATAGGTTGAAGAGGACCCTACAGTCTATAGGAGGTGGGGTATGTGGCGAAACCAACCTCGCCACTGTGAACTGGAGAAGCCTGGTTGCTCGCCTGCTCCCTTTGGACTATGGCCCTGCAGGTTAAACCGTTTATTTCCCCTGCAGAAAGGCTTATTTGTGTGATCTGAGTGCCATTCATCTAATAATGTGCACTCAGATCCCAGCTATCTGGGGATATGTGAAATGTCTGTGTGTTATGTGTAAAAGGTGACTTTATGTATTTTAAAGTGTTTTATGTCTTTTTGCAACAATGTGCTCAATGGAGTCTGCCTCTATCCCTGGATAATTGGATTACTTTCTCCATTGTCCCCAGGATAGAGGCCCTGTAAAACCTGCTTGAACCAGATAGCCATGCTGGCAGGGGGTTTTAAAAGATACTTTACTAACTTTTGAACCCCTTGTCTGATTCATGCCATTTTTTAATATGTTGTCCCCCTGAATGGATTGATTGTGAATATGTAATTTTATGTGAATGTGATGTATGGTTTTAAAGTTATGAAAGTTGGGTAGAAAGTATGTTTTAACTGTTTGTATAATTGAGTTTCCTCTCAGGATAAGGGGAGGGAATATGTGGGATGTAACTGTGATATGATTGGTTGTTTTATCCCTCCCTGTGGGTGGTCCTGTATTTGCAAGACTGTAATAAAAACCAGGCTGGGTGTGCCAGCACCTCAGACCACTGCTTGACCCTCAACACGGAGCCTTGTCTCGTTCTTGGGGGGATTCACTGTATGCTGTTAGAGACTGATTGCCAGGAGTGTAAGCTGATTGTCTGCTTTTCCTGTTCGTCTGCTAGCAGCTATTTGGGAGGTTCCAGTTCGGGAGTTGGAGTGCTATTTTGTATCCAGTTCGGGAGTTTGGTGTTCTGCAGTAGCTGTGCCTGTATCTCTGGAAAGGGGGCCGATCGCCTAAACGGTTTTTACCCCTTGTGTGCAAAACGGTCCGTTGCAGGGTATATAACACATTTGGATGGGAAATAGGAATCTAATAAGGTGGGAGTGAGGCAAAGCTGGAGGTGAGAGTAGAGTGCTGCCCTTTAGAAGAGAGCAAGAGACAGGTATGTAAGGTAGAGGTTAGTCTGGGAGGCCATAAGCTTTCCTAAGGGATGGGTTTTAAGGCACTTTTCATTACCTACATAACCCCTTCTAAGCAAGGGAGTAGCTGCCATCTGAAGCTACTTTTCTTATTTCAGAATAGATGTGTACCTGCTTTGTGTGCAGGTGCAGCAGGCGAATACATCTTACGTTTCTTTTTCTGGTCAATAAAAGTATCCTAAACGTGACATGGTTACAGGTGAGCTGAGCAGCAGAAAGCCCCCTCTAACCCACCCGGAATGGGCTCCACCAGTCAGTCAGTCTCTCGTGGATTTTGAACATTCCCCAGAAACCAGTTTCTAACATGGATTTTATTCTCCGTTGGAGTTCTTGTCATCAGAACTGCTAGCCGACATTGTGATCAGTTTAGGAATTCGATCTAGTGTGAATGCCATTGCTTCATCACAGTCACAGTTTGGGGGGTGACCTGCTTACTCTATTTTACAGATATGGACGCAAAGGAGGATCTTATAGCTACAGTTATAAGCAGATGTGAACATTAGTTGCCTGATACAGCCTACAGCAGCCTCCTGTATGTGAAGAACCTAAAACGGTACCTGGACAATATGTGGTTCGCCGGATAAAAGTATTTTTTAGGCTGATTCTGCCAAAACTACATTTTTACAATATTTTATTTCTTTCCTTTAAGTCTAGTAGCCATAACCACTACATATAATATAATATAGTGGTTTGGGTACAATTAGGCTGCAGGAGCCATCCCCCAGATCTCAATCACCCATCTGTTCAGTTTAACTAAAACTGGAAAATCATAAAAAGGTACCCACAGCCTGGCCCTCTACTCAGTTATTGCTAGTACCAAACTTACATTTCCATATTACAATGTCAGCGTCGGCCACATTTTAAAGTTACTAACTGGCAGATTGGATCCGCTTTTCTCATTAGAAATTCTGGCGAGCAGGCCAAGATGCAAAAGTCTCTGACAATCATGGTTCTGATCAAATTGCTTGACAGCTGTTTAAAGGAACACTATAGGCACCCAGACCATTTCAGCTCATTGAAGTGGTCTTGGTGCAATGTCCAGCATGGGCAAAGCCTGACCCAGAGCCAAGAGACATCGGTGCTGGATTTAGGGGTGAGTGGAGGGGGGCACTGTAAGAACCTATAGTTCCAGAAAAAAAGGCTTTGTTTTCCTGGCACTATAGAATCCCTATAACTAAGAAACAGGTTATGGTTTATAGATGAACCATTTAAATATGTTATACTTCACATATCCCTTCCATATAATCCTCTTCAAGCCTTAAATATATCAGACTGACATTCCCAGAATCCCTCACCTCTCCAGTCAGCAGGTAGTTGACCTCCAGGGTCAGATCCAGGATCCTCTCGGTCATCTGATTCCGGTTTGTGTTTGTCATCATTAAGCCAATCAGGCAGCCTGAGAACAGTCTCTGGGGTTGTGGTCAGGAATTAGAATATTCTGTGGCTCTGTAAATTAGAGATCTAATGCATTTCAATACTTTCAATATTTTCCCCATAAATTATACACACAGTATATACAGGGGGTGTATATTTACCCCATACATTATATACACAGTATATACAGGGGGTGTATATTTACCCCATACATTATATACACAGTACATTCAGGGGGCTGTATATTTACCCCATACATTATATACACAGTATATACAGGGGCTGTATATTTACCCCCATACATTATATACACAGTATATACAGGGGCTGTATATTTACCCCATACATTATATACACAGTATACACAGGGGGTGTATATTTACACCCCCCCATACATTATATACACAGTATATACAGGAGGCTGTATATTTACCCCATACATTATATACACAGTAGATACAGGGGGCTGTATATTTACCCCATACATTATATACACAGTATATACAGGGGCTGTATATTTACCCCCCCCCCCCATACTTTATATACACAGTATATACAGGGGGGGTGTATATTTATCCCATACATTATATACACAGTATATACAGGGGGCTGTATATTTACCCCCATACATTATATACACAGTATATACCCAGGGCTGTATATTTACCCCCAAACATTATATACTTTAACCCCTTAAGGACCAAACTTCTGGAATTAAAGGGAATCATGACATGTCACACATGTTATGTGTCCTTAAGGGGTTAAAGGCTGCATACTGGCTTGCCCTACACAGTATACTTTGTATCATTGCATACCCTCAGGCTGTATATTTATATAACATTTACCAAATGGCACATACATTTTTGCAGTGTATACGCAGAAGCTGTACGGAGTGGCCTGTAAGTCCCTACCCATCCATCTAATGTATCGAGTGGGTAGGGACTTATGGGCCACCCTGTATATTTACCACACATACGTTCCATATTACAACACACAACCAATCCTCTCCTCCTAGTTTCCCAGTTCTGCATCCACTACCTCCCTTGCCCAACCAATAGCTCTGTGAATCCCCATTTTGTAGGATCAGAATTACTTAAAATAACGGGGTTTTTAATTACATGATTTGGGAGACCTTTTGGTGGCCGTCGTTATTTAGGGCTAAGTGTATATTAGCGTATACTAAGACTGAAGGCAGAGTTCTGAATCCTGACAAATTTAGAGTAAAATGTATTCATGTGATGTAGGAAATTTCTAAAACTACAAATAATTATCAGACCTAGTAATCAGTATAATTAGGGATTCTTTGCATTAAGGGGACATCCCAATAAATGGGAGAAAGGAATGAAGTATATGTCAGACTGCTAACGAGTTCCCGCCCAGACATACATCGTTAAAGTGAAATCATCACAGATGAGATGTTTGCTGTGACTTGAGCCTTTTATTATATATTTTAAGTTTACGTGCTCTGCCAGGCATACCATGTCTAGCATGTCATTTAATGTACCTGGCATTGCCATTCACACAGCTGGCATTACAGGAGGAATACAAACACCTTGTCCCAAACTCCCACTACTCCTGGCCGGCAGCAATGACTATAGCACACGTCAGCTCCACTACAAACGATTAAAGTAAAGAAAAATGGCACTTGTGCAATATCCAAAATCCCTACGCACATTTAAATAATTGGAGGTCCAATGACCATTAAAGTGAAAGCTCACCTGCCAAGTCAAGGTAAAACTATTCATCTTCCTTTAAGTTAAAAGGTGAAATGTCTAAGGAGACAGATACTAAACATAACTCCACCTATTTCAATGTGCATTCGGATTAGGGATAGTGTGCAAGGAACGATTGTCTGACGAGCATGAGCACACCCAAGGCATTATGGGACAGCGAGATGGCCCATACTGAGTTTAATTGAGATTTATTTGAATTTTTTTAAATGACCTCCTCTGGATTAATTACCCCAAAAAGCATTCCAGCAGTGTTTACTGTGGTGAGGATCATGTGATTACCACACATTGACCTGTGATTTCAGAGCAAAATTGCTAATTTATTGTATATGATCAGACTTTATAAAACGTACATTTTTTTCTAAAGTGAAACCTTGCAAGTTATAAACTAAATTAAGCCTTGCAGTGCTGAATTAGCAGTTCAAATGGAGAAAAAAAGACTGTTTAGGGGTATGAAAGGGGTGTGGCCAGGGGCGGGCCTGTTCTGAGAAATTTTAGTTGGCCAACTAATAACAATTTATACAATTAAAATGTAATTTAGAAGAAGAACAATGTATCTCATTTACACAGACTGATTTCTAAACACATTTATTGTGGTTTGAAGACACATAACTGGGAGTATTATTGCTGTGGAGCTCTGTTATACACTCAGACACAGTACTGGGAGTATTATTGCTGTGGAGCTCTGTTATACACTCAGACACATAACTGGGAGTATTATTGCTGTGGAGCTCTGTTATACACTCAGACACATTACTGGGAGTATTATTGCTGTGGAGCCCTGTTATACACTCAGACACATTACTGGGAGTATTATTGCTGTGGAGCTCTGTTATACACTCAGACACATTACTGGGAGTATTATTGCTGTGGGGCTCTGCTATACACTCAGACACAGTACTGGGAGTATTATTGTTGTGGAGCTCTGTTATACACTCAGACACATTACTGGGAGTATTATTGCCGTGGGGCTCTGTTATACATTCAGACACGTTACTGGGAGTACTATTGCTGTGGAGCTCTGTTATACACTCAGACACATTACTGGGAGTATTATTGCTGTGAGCTCTGTTATACACTCAGACACATTACTGGGAGTATTATTGCTGTGGAGCTCTGTTATACACTCAGACACATTACTGGGAGTATTATTGCTGTGGAGCTCTGCTATACACTCAGACACATTACTGGGAGTATTATTGATGTGGAGCTCTGTTATACACTCAGACACATTATTGGGAGTGTTATTGCTGTGGGGCTCTGCTATACACTCAGACACATTACTGGGAGTATTATTACTGTGGAGCTCTGTTATACACTCAGACACATTACTAGGAGTATTATTGATGTGGAGCTCTGTTATACACTCAGACACATTATTGGGAGTATTATTGCTGTGGAGCCTGTTATACACTCAGACACATTACTGGGAGTATTATTGCAGTGGAGCTCTATTATACCCTCAGACACATTACTGGGAGTATTATGGTTGTGGAGCTCTGTTATACACTCAGACACATTACTGGGAGTATTATTGCAGTGGAGCTCTCTTATACCCTCAGACACATTACTGGGAGTATGGCTAAGGTGGGAGCTCTGTTATACACTCAGACACACATTGGGAGTATTATTGCTGTGGGAGCTCTGTTATACACTAGACACACATTGGGAGTATTATTGCTAGGAGTTTGTTATACACTCAGACACATTACTGGGAGTATTATTGCTGTGGGAGCTCTGTGATACACTCAGACATTACTGGGGAGTATTATTACTGTGGGAGCTCTGGTATTCACTAGACACATTACTGGGAGTATTATTGCTGTGGAGCTCTGTTATACACTCAGACACATGACTGGGAGTATTATTGATGTGGAGCTCTGTTATACACTCAGACACATTACTGGGAGTATTATTGCTGTGGAGCTCTGTTATACACTCAGACACATGACTGGGAGTATTATTGATGTGGAGCTCTGTTATACACTCAGACACATTACTGGGAGTATTATTGCTGTGGAGCTCTGTTATACACTCAGACACATTACTGGGAGTATCTCTGCTGTGGAGCTCCGTTATACACTCAGACACATTACTGGGAGTATTATTGCTGTGGAGCTCCGTTATACACTCAGACACATTACTGGGAGTATTATTGCTGTGGAGCTCTGTAATACACTCAGACACATTACTGGGAGTATTATTGCTGTGGAGCTCTGTTATACACTCAGACACATTACTGGGAGTATTATTGCTGTGGAGCTCTGTTATACACTCAGGCACATTACTGGGAGTATTATTGCTATGGAGCTCTGTTATACACTCAGACACATACTGGGAGTATTATTGCTGTGGAGCTCTGTTATACACTCAGTCACATTACTGGGAGTATAATTGCTGTGGAGCTCTGTTATACACACAGACACATTACTGGGAGTATTATTGCTGTGGTGCTCTGTTATACACTCAGGCACATTACTGGGAGTATGGCGCTTTTAGAAAAGAGGGTCAAAGGGATTAGGGACCAAAATAGGGACTGTTCCTCATACATAGGGACCCTTGGGAGGTATTGTGTAGGAGGAATTGCCTGATTCCTGTACATGCTCGAGAATATCTGAGGCATTATGGGAGCCAGTCATGGTGAATGTGGCATTGACCCCAGTAAATGTTCACATAGTGCTTACTGGAATGAAGGGACATCCCTGCCGTATTATGAGAAAGCCATGCTAACTGCCAGGTTTTTCAGAAAGTGAGCATTGATGGGATGAGTGAGTTGCAGAGGTAAGTCTAAAATTAGCGATCTGGAAGCTGATTGGAGAATTGTTCCATTTCGGCTAATTAACCTTAGACTTGAAATTCACTGGGAATTCCAGTGTTCATTAATAACCCTGTCTGGTTTATTTACCGAAGGGAGAATTTAGAGTGAATTTAACATTTAACGTCAAAATCACAACCTGCAAAAACTCTCTCAGTCAGCTCTGCTTTGAGTTCGGCTACTCTGGCCTGAACGTCAGTAGATAACCCAGATAGTGTGTTCTATCTGTGCCGGAAAGAATTAACTTTAAAGAGGGGGCACATGGGGTAGGCAGCAGCACTATACCAAGACCGTATCATGCAAAAAGGAAATAAAACCACGAAATTAGCCCCGATTCAAACTCCCACTAGTTTCTGCCAGCTGCACTGGCCTTAGCGTTCACTGCGAACCCACTAAAGTGTAAGCTCATCGGCCAAGTTCAAGGCAAACCTCCAATGTGACATTTCCATTGGTTTTTTTTTTATACATCACTGTTGAATTCTATAGCCACTGCTGCTGCCCAAGAGTTTCTATATTCCTAATTAGGGTTAACCCCTTCACTGCCCTATACATTTCTTTTCTCTATATTAAGCTTCCATTCTGT